GCTGGCGCCTTAGCCACTTGAGCCACAGGCGCCGAGCCTGGCCATTTTTTAGTTGCAGCCATCATTGTTGTTTGGCGGGCCCGGGCTGGGGATTCGAACCTGCCACCTTAGGTGTATGTGGCTGGCGCCTTAGTAAATGGCAGTTTTTAAAATATCTCCAATGATATTTCATAAACTCATTGATAAACCCTCAAACTTCAGGGTGAGGTGGAGACTAGAACTCACATCCATGAGCTACTCCAGGGACACAGAAACCAGGGGCACTGCATGAACAACCACCTTGGCTGAAGCAAGGCCCACCTGCCTGCACAGGTGTGCACACACATACAGACTTGCATATGTGTGCCCACACAGCTCACATGCACACACATGCATGGACACATGCACTTGCGCACATACATACTACATGTATGCACACACGGTGCACACGTCTGAGCCTGTGTCTCACAAGTGCACACTCCCTCACATGTGTGCATGTGGACACCCCTGATGCTAAAGAAGGCTTCCGAGCAAAAACTCCACAGCACACTTTAGACTTTGGCATCATTTATAAATAAGTTTAATTGCTTTATCCTCTATCCACTAATGAGGATGGTTAGTTAAGCATTCAAAGTCAGTTTGACCTCACGGCTCAGGGGTGCTGTTACCTGTGCACCCCGAGAGTAGGAGCGGAATATGGTACAGAATCTTCCCTGCCCCGACGTGTCCCTGGAAAAGATGTTGGAGACTATTAGGAAGAAATCAGCACTTCTTCCTACAGCAAGGCTCTCAGACTTCAGAGCCACACCTGAAAACAGATGCATTTTACAGCCGTTAGTGACCCCAGCAAAGCTGCCACATGTCCCTTGGAATGATCTGGATGTTGCCGGGAATCCTTGTAGCCTCATTCTCCTTGTTTCTTTCTTTTTCTTTATTGTAGACAGAGTCTCATTCTGTCACCCTGGCTGGAGTGTAGTGGCATCATCACAGCTCACTGCAGCTGTAAACTCCTAAGCTCAAGCTGTGACTACAGGCATCTGCTATGATGCCCTGTTTCTTGTTTTATGTAGAGACAGAATCTCAGTATGTTGTCCCGGCTGGTCTTAAACTGCTAGACTCAAAAGATCCTCCACATTGGCCTCTGAAAGCCCTAGGATTACAGGCATGAGCACTCACACCTAGTCTTATTCTCATTTTCAATTCTCATTTAAGAAGTCAAACTAGGCTTGGGACCTGTGGCTCAAGCGGCTACGGTGCCAACCACATACACCTGAGCTAGTGGGTTCGAATCCAGCCCAGCCCCGCCAAACAACAATGACGGCTACAACCAAAAAATATCCGGGCGTTGTGGCAAGTGCCTGTAATCCCAGCTACTTGGGAGGTGGAGGCAAGAGAATCGTTTGAGCCCAGGAGTTGGAGGCTGCTGTAATACCATGGCACTCTACCCATGGTGACAGCTTGAGGCTCTGTCTAAAAAAAAAAGAAGAAGAAGAAGAAGTCAAACTAGAAAAATTAGTGATAAGTTCTCATACATTTAAATTAATATGAGTTTTCAAAAATATATTTAATTTGGAGAAAAAGTTGTGTAGTAAGGAAAGTGAGTCTACACTGAGGTAGAAATAGGCCAGTGGAGCCCCCCCTTCCCACTAAATTGTAAGATCAATGAGTTAAACCTTCAGCAACATTCCTAAATTTACCAATCCAAGGAACTGACTTGGCTGAGTCAAAAGAAGGCCTTAGGCTGGGCATGGTGGCTCTTACCTGTAATCCCATTCTGGGATGGCTAAGGCAGGTGGATTGCTTGAGCTCAGGAGTTCTGAGCAAGAGCTAGACCCTAAAAATACCTAACATCCTGGTGGGCACCTGTAGTCCCAGCAACTAGGGAGGCTGAGGCAAGATAATCACCTAAGCCCAGGAGTGGGAGGTTGCTGTGAGCTGTGTGACGCCATGACACTCTACCGAGGGCAATAAAGTAAAACTCTGTCTCTACAAAAAAAAAAAAAAAAGAAAAAGAAAAAAAAGAACTGGGACAGCGCCTGTGGCTCAGTGAGTAGGGCGCCGGCCCCATGTACCAAGGGTGGAAGGTTCAAACCCAGCTCCAGCCAAACTGCAACAAAAAAAATAGCCCGGTGTTGTGACGGGCCCCTGTAGTCCCAGCTACTCAGGAGGCTGAGGCAAGAGAATTGCCTAAGCCCAAAAGCTGGAGGTTGCTGTAAACTGTGATGCCACAACACTCTCCTGAGGATGACAAAGTAAGACTCTGTCTCTTAAAAAAAAAAAAAAAAATTCAAGAACTGGCTTCAACAGAACCTCAGGAGCTCAGGTCCTGCCTGCAGTGGGAGCTGCCTGAGAGCCTGTGGGTGAGGAGATAGCAGGAGGCCAGAGGGGGCCCTGCTGCTTCACAGACAGGCTGGGGACAGGGCAGCTGGATGCAGAGGGACCACCCAGCAGATTCGGGAGTGAGGCAAGGAGGTGGGGACAGGTGGAAGCCCTGCCTTGGGTATCAGGAGTACCATGTCCCCAGATCTGAGTGGAGTGACTGTGCAAAGAGGAACGTGTGGACAGCCAGCAGCTGGCGTCACCCAGGAAGGGCCTTGAGGTCCTTCAAGGAAGCATCTGAGAGGGCAGAAAGTGTTGAGGACCACGCTGGGGCCTGGCCAATGTATCCTGGACACCCAGGCTGAACTTTAGGCACTCATGCTTCCTGCCAAGTGGAGCATCCAGGGCTCTAGTGAAGGAAGCCAGAACGGCTAACAGGTGCAGCCTCTGAGGCCAGGGGCACATGTGGGCAGGGTGGAGCCTGCAGATGCTTTTACACCCTGGAACCAAGTGGTCCAGGGAGCAGGAGAGAAGGGACTTGAGAATAAGGTGGTCTGAGAGGAGGGGAGACAGGGCACCGGGCAGAGAAGCGCAGAGTTTAAAAATGCCTCTGGGGCAGTACCAATGTCCCCAAGGTGCAAAGGTCCAAGACTGGGCAGTGGGAAGGTGGGGCATCCAGAGAACTCTGTGGAGAGAGGCTTTCTGGCCAGCCTCGGGGACTGGCTGCTCCTGGAAGGAGTGGGGGTAGAGGGACGGGAGAAGGGGTCCTAGTTATTGCAGGCCAAATGCTGGAGAGTGGACCCACATGGTTGAGGGGGGGAGGGAAGTGCCATGGGGCCCAGGAGACTGTCCTTAGTCCCAGCGGGAGCCCTGGAAGCCCATGCTGGAGGGCAGGGGAGAGGCATGGCTAGAGTCTCAGAGCCAGGACAGCCAGCCCAGGGCCAAGGGGATAGGGAGAGACAAACCTCAGTTGGCATGAGGAGGCTCTGAGTTCCTGCTATGCACTCAGTGGCCTAGCCCTCTCAACCACACACCATGCTGGTCCCCTTCTGGCCCCAGGGAGGTGTCTTTCTGGGCACCAGGCCTCACATTCTGAGCCCACAAAGCCCATTACCTACCACAATGCCTGTGGGCACCAGGGTCATTGCCTTTCAGAGGGAGCCACTGGTTAAAGCTGGGACAGCAGGACTACAGCTCCGGGGGTGCTGTGCCCTCCACATGAGGCTTCTCCTTTCCCCAGTAAGTCCTTCCCAAGAGCCGAAGACGGGACCCCAGACTCACCAGAGCTGCAGCTTCACCCGCCGGCCATCGAGCAGGATGGTAGTGGTTTTGTAGTCAATCCCTGTGAAAGGTGCAGACAACCTACGTGTAGCTGCAAAAGTTACGTGTAGTTTCCCAAAAGTTACTTCCCCTTAAGGGAACACTGGGGAAGAAGCCTTTCACACTGGGGAGCAGATTATGAGTTCACAAAACAGGTGGGCAGGACCGTGTTTGTGTGTCTCCCAGATTTGCCACACCCCCCACCTGCCACTCACCTGCCCCACGGGGACCCCTGCCTCCAGTCACAGGGCCCAGGTACCCACTGGCCACCATCAGCCTAGGTGTTCCCCATGTGGCACCTGCAGGCCCAGCATGGCCGGGGAGCAGCAGGTTGCTGCAGGGCAGGGCCAGCTGATGTGGCCCCTGTGTGGGCTCTGACTCTGGCTGCCCCAAAGCTGCATGCATAGAAGTCTCCACTTAGCTCTTTCCAAAATAGCAAGTCTGAAAACACAGATTGTTTCCCCCAAAGTGTCACACTAGGATTGTAAAGTAAAACTAGAAATGGTATGAAATTAGAAAGGAATTTGCTCTCAGCTGTGTAAGAACCTGCATGTGAACCTGCATGTGTGGGTGTCAGGAAAAAGAAGCGTGAGGGACAGCCCCATCTCTGGGTCAGACAGCACTGAGTGAGTGTAATCCTCTTTTCCAAACTTTCCTTCTTTTCAAAAATTTATTTATTTATTTATTTATTTATTATTATTATTTTAGAGACAGAGTCTCACTTTGTCACCCTCGGTAGAATGCCATGGCATCATAGTTCACAGCAACCTCCAACTCCTGGGCAATTCTCTTGCGTCAGCCTCCCGAGTAGCTTGGACTACAAGCGCCTGCCACAACTCCTGGCTATTTTTTGTTGCAGTTTGGCCAGGGCCGGGTTTGAACCCGCCACCCTCGGTATATGGGGCCTGCGCCCTACTCACTGAGCCATAGGCACAGCCCTCAAAAATGTTTTTAAATGAGTATGCATTTCTTCTAACATTAAAAAGATGCAATAAATATTTTTTAAAAGGAAAAACAACTTTCCTATCCCCCAGAAACCAATTTTTTCCTTCTTTGAGAAACCATCTTCTGGATTCACTTCTGGTGTCTCTGGGCAACCACCAGGCTGCAGAGAACATATGCTTGGCAGCTGACAGGGGAAAACAAGCAGCCAAGAAGGAGGGCTTCCGTAAGAGACTAGGGAGTGCTAGAGAGGGGTACTCCCTCCTGAAATAGACACAACAAAACTTATAATCACAGAGCACAAAATGCTCAGGAATGAGGCACCACGAGACTTTATGGTATAAACTTGATTTATTTCATTTATAGGCTTACTCAAGAATGTTCCTCAAAGCACATTAAGCAAAAAGACTGGCCTTGAAAACATTCTAGGATGTGATCCAATTCTGAATGTTTTCAGTAAAGTTGAAGTAAGAACTATAATTCTAAGGGAAAATGTGCTGATGGAGAGGCAGAGGGAAGAAGAAATTGAAGACTTGCATAAGCGCCTCACCCCAGAGAAAGGTTTTGGATGGGTTTCAGGCCTCAGGAGCTCTTCTGCAAAAGAAAAACTGCAGTAAAACCAGTTAATGCTCAGAAAACAAGCTCCTCTAAATTGCAGCCAGAGGCGGTAGCTCACACCTCTAATCCCAACACTTGGTAGGCCAAAGTAGGAGGATTGCTTCAAGACCAGCCTGGGCCACACAGCGAGGCCCTGGCTCTATAAAAAATAATAATAATAATAAATATGATGCTTATGAAAGGTTTTCAAGTAGCTTAGCTATGCTCCCTTGTAGGACATGGACCACTTAGACTTGGCTACAAGCCTCCGAGTCCCCAGAGAAAGCAAGCTGTGTTCATGAAGTCTCTGCAAAGCCATGTGTCATGGATGACCTTACCACTCGGACAGCTGGTCGCCCACATTGCTGGGGCCTCTAGGTCTCCATCCTCTGCTCTATACTTGTGGCAACCCTCCTCTGGGCGGACCCTGCCCCTCCTTCCCCCAGGCCTCCACCAGGCTCCGCCCTCCACCCCCCTCCCAGCATCTGTTCCCTGGTCCAGGCCCCCTCCAACCCTGGGGGGAGTCCTGTGGTGTTGTCAGCCTCCCACTAAGCTGCATCACAATGGCCAGACAAACCAGATTGATCAACAAAAGAGCAAAATTCCATTTTCTCATAGGGAGCCATCTGCTTGGTTTTTTTTTGTTTGTTTGTTTTTTCATTAAGGAGATTCTGGTGAGAAAACATGCAGGGTCAGGGATGCACCTGTGGCTCAAAGGAGTAGGGCGCTGGCCCCATATGCCAGAGGTGGTGGGTTCAAACCCAGCCCCGGCCAAAAACTGCAAAAAAAAAAAAAA